TATTGGTTTATTTAGTGGATTTTAATTAAACTTCCTCTTTAACTTGCCCTGGGTAGAGGGGAAAATTCAAATCCATTGAGGGTAACTCTTGGCAAATGTCGTATTTTAAAACCACTTCTACATAACATATACTCAGGAGCAGGAGCAGTTTTCTCCTTTCTGTTGGTAACTATACAAATATTTAAACATCATTATGTCCTTCACTTATTTTTTCTTGTCTTCTAAATACTCTCAGTTCCTTTTACAATTTTATACATAGTAGGATTTTCTGATCCTTTATTCATCAGTGTTCTTCTCAAAATATGAACCCAGAATTGAATCTAATATTCCCGATCGAATACAGTGAGATCTGCCACCCTTGACTTGATTGTATTTAGCATTTGATAAACACAGCACACAAGACAGAGAGTATATGTTTTTAGTAGCTATTACTTTATTGACGTATGTCAAAGTTGGTATTTCTTTAATGAAATTTTTATTTAAAACCTAAACTTTAATCTTTTAATTTTTGGATACTGGACATTTGTACCTCAAATTAAGAGCTTCACATTTATACTTGCTCAATTCCACTTTGTTAAATTTGACTCATCAGTCAGTCTGTTCTTTAGTTTGGTTTCAGAGTTTGATGTGTGTCTCATTACCCTTCATTTTGTATTACCTGTAGATTTGAAAGACATGTGTTTTTTTACATCTTAGATGATTTTTCCACACAGCTTTGCTGGATAAGATCTAATCACATGCTTACTATGGCCTCTCCCGATTGATGTCTCTCCAAGATACACTGCTTTCTGAGCCTGGTCTCTACAAATCTCCCAACAGTACATCCTCATTGAGCGCACCTTTCAGTTTTGTTTTATCAGACTGCTTCTCAGCATTGTCTTCCATGCTCATTCACTGAATATCGTTCTAAGGTTTACTCTGTGCTGTGTCCTTCCCTGCTTTTCCTGGGTACCACCTACACCTGTGCCTACAGGTACCACCTATAGGCCAGCAACTCTTAATTCTGTTTCTTATTAACTTTTCTCTTAATCTTCAGGCTTATATGTCCCAACGACATAACCACTACAGCCATTCAGTGACCACGACCTGTTCCTTTTTTTGGAGACAGGACAGAGAGGTGGCCCACATCTCCCCTGGGAAAGGGGCTGCAGGCCGAGGCCCACGGTCCGTCACCACCCACCCCCGTTCCCCATCCCAGCCGGGGCCTGGAGCCCCCATGGGGTCGGGGAGGAGGCGGCAGCCTCGCGGGGCAAGGGCAGATGCCACGGGCTGACCCCTCCCTCCCACGCCGCGGGGGGACACAGGACAGCACAAACCCGAGGACTGGCTTCCAGCAGATGGCAGCGAGGGAGCTGCTCTGCTTGGACAAACCCCAGCCCAGAAGCAGGTCCTCGACCAGGGGCCCCATGAGTGTGTGAGAGGCGAGGGGGCGCCCCCTTTCCAGCCGCTCCCAGTTTGCCAGGAGAGGGGCTGTCTGCACTGCACGCGTGGCGGGGATGGCAGGGCCGGCTGTCCGCACTGCACCCCGGTCCTGACGCGTGGCGGGGATGGCAGGGCCGGCTGTCCGCACTGCGCCCCGGTCCTGACGCGTGGCGGGGATGGCAGGGCCGGCTGTCCGAGGCCCCGAGGCCCCGCCGGGTCGTTCCGCGAGGGCGGGGTCCTGACTTAGAGGGGTCAGTCATAATCCCACAGTTCACCCCAGTGGCCCCTCAGCCAAGCACATGTGCCGAATGTCTGCACCTCGGTTCCTCTGGTGCTGAGCAGGATTGCCATGGCAACAGCACAGCATCAGTAGGGTGAAACTAGCCCTTCTCAGGAAGGGCCGAACGCAGCTCGCATCCCTGTTAGTGGATGAACAGTCCAGCGCGTGGTGAAGTCCGCTTCAGGTGTACTCACCCCTTTTCCTCCAGCCTCGGTACCACCACCTGGGCCACACCTCCGCCAGCTCACAGCGTGTCTGTCTCCTGACAGGTTCCTGTTCTCAGCCTTACATCCTCGCAATTCACAATGCAACCTGAGTTGTGCCTTTTTGAAACATATGTTTGGCCCTGGCCGGTTTGGCTCAGCGGTTAGAGCGTCGGCCTGCGGTCCAGAGAGACCCGGGTTCAGTTCCCACTAAGGGCACGTACCTCAGTTGCAGTTTGTCCCCGGCCCTGGTTGGGTCGTGTGGGTGGCAGCCAGTCCATGTGTGTTTCTCACATTGATGTTTCTCTCTCTCTCTCTCTCTTCCTCCCTCTCTCCCTCCTGCTCTATCTGAACAAAAAATGGAAAAATGTCCTCGGGTGAGGATATAAAAAAGTTAAAAAAAAAATTTAAAACACATGTTTGCTCATGGTATTCCCACTGGTTTTAAGATAAAGTTTCAACTATTCAGCTTCACCTACAAAGTTCTTCATCAATTGTCTACAGCCTACCTGCCATTAGTCTATTTGGTGGATAGACTAATAAGAAGCTGTTTCTATTTTATTTATTTAAGGTTAGTATTTCTGAGGATAGTTTTGAAGTTGGTATGCAAACTGAATTTTAGGCAGATGTGTTTGAAATTTATTATGACTGAAACTTTGTTACAATGAGTGAAATTTAGAATTACTGCCCATGTGTTCTTTCTAGAGGTTACTGAATGTATTGGAGAAAGTTCTGAAAAATCTCATTCAAGTTATAAACTGAATCCCATTAACTTACTTAAAGCATACTTTATATTCATTTTGTGTTGTGCTTCCATTGGGGTGGTAGGTAGTGCACTTTGTATATAAAATCTATTTTAAAGGCTCTAATCAAAATTAACATTTTAAAAAGTAACAAATCAAAAATAAGCTTTATCTTCTTGCTTTCTGGGAGCCTTTGGCGGTGTAGTTTGAATGAAGGCAGGTTTCTGGGAGCACTTGGCAGTGTCGTTGACCCCTAATGAAGGAAGCGGAGCAGTTCCTCGTCAGGGAGGAGAACAGGGGCTGCTGCACCGCTGGTTCTGGGCACACGGGGGGCAGGGGTGAGGACGTACTGAAGATGAGCAACTGCTGAGCTGTTTTACCAGGTCTTTAAAAACAATTAAACATCTAGTCCTGTGGACATTTTAAAATGCTTTAACATACTCCACTTAGGAGATGAGAGGAGGACATGGTGAAGTGCGGAGAGGTGGAGACCACCGAGGCCCGCCGTCGGTGGTGCTAGAATCTGGGTGTCTGGCTCCTAGTGGGACACATTTTCCCAAGGTGACAGGAGTTGCCGCTGCCGTGGGGACAGCGTGGAAGGGAGAGTCGCGGTGTCTCAGGGCCCCCCAGAGACTCCCTTCTTAGTACCTGATTGAGAGTAACGCAGCCCCCACAGGTGTGTGACACACACGAGAGGTTCGGAGTCTCCGACCACGTGGGTGGGGAGGGAGCAGTGTGGACACTCAGAAGGGCAACTGTGAACCTGGAGGGGGTTTCCTGTGCTCAAACCACCAAACGTGGCCAGATCCCTGCTGCCACGCCCCCCCTGTGCTCAGGGCCCTGGAGGGAGAAGCCCTAAGACAGAGCTGCCACAGGGGTTGCTCGGATCGCTTTGCTGTTGTGACACTGCCCTGCCCCTCCCTCTTAGTCCCCAGGCCCTGGTGGCAGCGTTGTCCCGGGCTGGTGGACCGTGGGGACGCCCACGCGCTCTGCAACCTCAGCAAGCCCTGTGTGCACTGCAGCCTCCGAGCGGGGCCTGGAGAAAGCATTTCCAGAAGCTTCTGTCTGCTGGGCGGGGGGAGAGCCTCGTGGAGACAGCGTTCAGACAGTGGCCCTGCTGAGCTCTGGCTGTCGTCAGCATCAGGCAGAGGACGGACGGGGGCTCCGTCGGGAGTGTAGTGAGGCCATGCCACTAGCACTGAGGTCGGGAAGATGAGGTGCGAACCGGCCGGCAGGGCAGCAGATTCTGTCCGGCTGATAGTCGGGTGTGTCAGCTCGCAGGACGGATCACGGTCAGTGTAAGTGTCCAGGTACACGCCCCCAGCGCCGGGGAACCTCTGTCCTGGAAACAGTGTAGCAGCCTTCCTGCCGGCTGCGGTTTCTTACTGAAGCCACGAGCAAGAAGACCTTGCAAAGTCAGTTCGGAAAACAGTGTAACGGGATAAGTTGTGTCCTCGTATAGAAGCTCAGATTATAGTTTCTCGTAGGAATTGTATTAAGCACAGGAATTGATTGTTGCAGTAATAACTACTTTTGTGAAGTGCTTTGTAACTCCTCAAGCGCTTTGCTACACATGGAGGCCCAGAAAGCTGTGATGGGGTAGGGCAGGAATTGCTCTTCATTCTTTCAACAAATACTGAATGTCAGGCACTGAAGTGCTCAGGACGCTGTAAGAACAAAGCAACAAGACTTTTCCAGTGGGCTTTACGTTCTAGTGAGACAGTAAAGACAATGGTCATGGGTAAGTTTTACACAGTATGTAGCAGATGGTCAATAAGAGAAGAGCAAAGAGCAGCTTAAGGGGGGGTGACTGGCGGGGTGGGCGTGTGGGAAGGCAGTCAGCCACGCTGAGCCCTGTGTCCGGGCACAGGGTCCGAAGGCGGCAGGTGTGCTCGGGTTCAGGTAACAGCGAGAAGGCCAGCGAGTCCGCAGGGAGTGGGCTGCGGGGAGACTGGGAGACTCTGCTGGCTTAGAGACGGACTCAGACCCGGACAGTTAACAGGCAGACAGTCTGGTCGGGGTAGAAATCAAAACGTACGGTGACTCCAGGCCGTGTGTCCGACAGCTGCTTCCCTGGAAGTTGTCCTATCCCTACGGGGGTAGAAACGCAGTGGTGACTGGTGAGCAGTCTCTTACGTTGGTCTCAACCAGCTGGAGTCTATGTTCACACTTGGCTTCTCCTGAAGGAGACAGTGCCTTAGACTGTTCTTTCCAATGTTTTAAGTTATTAATTAGACCGACACCTCACTTGAGATTTTGCTTTCATGGATAACATGCTAATTATGTGCCTTACACGAATTCAGAAGACCTAATTTATAATTTCACAGTTCGCTCTCTAACATTCCTTCCCAGATACGGGCACACGGCGGGAGAGGCCACACACGACGCAGTGGACGCTGCCATCAACGTCGGCGTGGCCGCCTACAACATTGACAACCTGGGCCTCAAAGCCATGGTGAAGAAGACCGCCAAGCAGACCGGGCACACCATCCTGGAGGACTACCAGATCGTGGACCGCTCCAAGGGGGGCCCTCCGGGAGCGGGGAGCAGGGCGCACACCAAAGGAGAGGAGGAGGAGCAGACAGAGGACCCGGAGGAGGACGAAGCAAAGAAGAAAGGCAAGTGACGGTGGCCGTGCAGCCCCGACGGAAGCCAGGCGGACGGATGCAGCTGTGCTCACAGACGAGTGCCCCAGACTCAGTGCTTAAGATGCACCGTTTCCACAGAGGGACTGTCCAAGTTTTACAGCATGTGTTCTACTTGCCAGGAAAGCAATTGCTCTTCTCTCATCTGGTCTTGAGAAACACACTGTTATATTCTCAGCCAGTTTATTTTTTTCTAAATGTGGTTAACATATATTTTTGCAGTGAAAACAAGTGCCCTCATTAAACCTGATGTCAAACTATTTTTTGTATCTGCTATCTTTCAGAAAGCAAAGAAGGAAATTATTATATATTTACCAAAAAGAACTGGCATCGAGTAACCCTACCTTTACTTGTACTGGGAAGGAATGCCTTAAAGTATTGTTGCCTCTTTCTGCACTAATTGTGGGGTTTCTGGGTGCTTTCAGTATTTTCAGCATGTAAGCTAAACAACTACATTCCTAAACCAAGGTAATTCTCGGTTAACATTCAGAAGGCTTCTCAAAACAGGGACTAGACTAATCATGAAAAATAAAAGGAGGCTGTATAAAATTATGTGGTCGCTTACCTCTTCATTAGGAAATGAAATGGTCCTTTTGATTGAAAATGAATCCAGTTAGATTTTTAAGGCTCCTGGATTTGAACTGGTTTTGATCTGTCAGGAGCCTAGGAAATTTTGGGGTATGATGGATATTACATTAAGTTTTGAAGTGATTATTAATCAGCTTATTTGACAAAAAAGTATTTTAAGAAATAATGTTGCCATATCTAATTCAGGAAGTTGTTCTAAAAGGCAAAACTTTTGTAAAAACAAATATACACAGTATTGAATTTATGAATGGTAATTGTATTTTTATTCTGGAATTCAGTCATTGGAATTAAATTAAAAAGCCAATATGTTAAATTATTAGAAAGAAAAGGTTTTATTCGTTGTTAATGTGGAGAATGAGAATCTGTGGGGAGTGGACATCACAGCTTCCACCTGGGCGGAGGCGGGACTTGCAGCCTTGCAGACAGCAGGCGTGCAGGTGGATTTGTAACGAAAAGACTGCTGTTAGTTCTCAGAGCTCTCATCCACTCAGCGCTTTTTGAACCTCTGATGGCTACTTAGTTTACTAGACCTTATTTGAAACTGTCTAAATAATGCACTTGTGAATAAACTTGCTCTGAATTACTTGGCCTCAAATATACTCTAGGCTTTGATTTCGGGAACACACAGAGTTGGTGGGACCTTTCTCTTAGGCCGAGGATAATGTGCTCGTTAAAGGTGGAAACAAAGTTGAACTGCTAAATGGCTTCCAGTCAGTGTCTGCCTTGTTTCAGAAATGGAATGACAAACAGTGGAGCTGAAAGTTAACCTTAGACAGCAGGTCAGCAAAACGGGGTTTGTCGACAGATACCTACGGGATTGTTTTACCTCATTACTGTGTTCACTTGGTTGTGGGTTGCCTTTTCAGATTAGCGGCTGGACAAAATTTTGATAAGCATGACTTCTGTTGGAGCTGAACAGAATATATATGTGCATATATAATGCAGACGGGGCCACGTACTAAACTTGACAAGCCTACATGGTGGGCCTTATACACTCAGACGAAAGCAACCACCTAGGCTGGTCTGAATGTGAAATTTCCCAACTACAAGCGAGTCGCGGGGTCACGTGCTGGGCAAAGGTCAGTGTTCACCTTAACAGCCTGTCTGCTGTCTTTTCGCATCCACGATAACATGCTTTCAGAATGTCGGCATAATCCCCTTTATCCCAGACCCTCAGGGCATAGTCGCTCACCAACCTCGAGCCATCCGTCCCCATGTGCTGTAAATGTTAACTGTTAACTGTCATGTACCCACAGTGTCAAAGAAATGCGTCTCCGGTTTACTTTGTGTTGTCACGGACGCTTCCGTTTGCTTTCCCCCGCCTCCCTCACCCACCAGTGATGTCATGCAGTGACCCCTCGCACCCTCCCCTTTGACTGACGTGTTAAGTAAGCAGTGCCCTGCCGCTGTCCAGAGCACTGGTCAACCCACTGAGATGTTCTTCCTGCAGGTACCAGTTTGGCTCAATAAACTCAGAATTTCTCTACAGGTTTGGATGTTTTTTATGTTCACACACACACTCCCCACATTGACTGATTTACCATAACTCACCCAGTGGTTCTGGAGGCCGGGCAGTCCCAAGGACCGTCAGGCGGAGAGCTGGAGAGCCAGGGCCGCTGGTAGGTTTCCCCGTCCACGTCTGAAGGCCTGAGAACCAGGGCAGCCGGTGGCATCAGTTCCATTCTGAGAGCCCGCAGGCCAGAGAGCCAAGAGCCCCTTGCAGGCCGCGTCTGAAGGCTGAAAACACCAACATGCTCGCTGGAGCCGTCAGCCAGGAGTTCCCTCTGGCTCAGGCTTTTTGTTCTGTTCCGGCCTTCAGCTGACTAAGGGAGGGCCACCCACCGAGGGAGGGCCACCCACCGAGGGAGGGCCACCCATCGCAGGGAGGGCCACCCACCGAGGGAGGGCCACCCATCGCAGGGAGGGCCACCCACCGAGGGAGGGCCACCCACCATAGGGAGGGCCACCCACCAAGGGAGGGCCACCCACCAAGGGAGGGCCACCCACCAAGGGAGGGCCACCCACCGAGGGAGAGCCACCCACCGAGGGAGGGCCACCCACCATAGGGAGGGCCACCCACCAAGGGAGGGCCACCCACCGCAGGGAGGGCCACCCACCGAGGGAGTGCCACCCACCGAGGGAGAGCCACCTACCGAGGGAGAGCCACCCACAGAGGGAGGGCCACCCACTGAGGGAGGGCCACCTGCTGTATTCAGTCCACTGATCCAAACTGAAATGTCAGTTTCCTCCACAGACACCCACTGAGACACATCCAGAATAATGCTGGGCCAAATGTCTGGGCACCTTGGGGCCCAGGCAAGCTGGTCGAATTAACCATCACGGCCTCTTAGCCCAGTGTTCATTCCTAGAAGCCTTCACCTAGCTCTCCTGGGCTCTGTGAGACTCAGCAGATAACAGTGTATGAAGCCCAGCAGGTGTGGCTCACAGGTGGAGCATCAACCAAGAGGTTGGCAGTTTGATTCCCGGTCAGGACACATGCCCAGGGCCTGATCCCCAGTGGGGGGGGGGCATGCAGGAGGTGGCCCGTCAATGTTCCCTCTCACCGATGTTTCTACCTTGACCTCTCCCTTCTTCTAACATCAATAAAGAAAAAAAAAATTAATAGTGTATGAAAAACAAGTCATCAGCATTTACCTCTACCAGGGTCGTTAGGCTCTTAGCCTCTGCAGACAGCCCTCCCCGTGCCGCACTGGGCAGTGTGGGAGGCCTCCAGGAGAGGCTGCGGCAGTAACAGCATCGTGCACGTTGCACCGTGAGCCAGCAGTGTGCTAGGTGCCTTCACATCGATTCCCTTTGCTCTCTCTCGTTCGGACGAGGTCACACCGGTGTGCTGTCCGTCTGCAGAGAGCAGGGCACTGACATAAGAGGGCTCAGTAACTCCCAGGGTGCAAGAGGAGTGTGGAAGAAGAGGTCACACACTAGTCTCAAAAGGTAGGACCCCTGAGAGCCAACACGGTGGGGTGAAGGGCCCGGGTGAGCATGGGCGTGAGTGTGGGTGGGCAGCCTGCCTGGTGGGGAAACTCAGGGTGGCCATTTGGACGCAAGGTGAAGGGAGCTGCTGGCAGCAGAAGTCCCCCCCCCCATACGCACTTCTCCCGGCTCAGGGTCAGGAAGCACACCATTCTGCAGGATCCGCAGGGTCCTCCTTGGGAGGCCGGAGGGAATGGTGGAGAGCCAGCACTGGGGGCAACAAACAGGCGGTCCTAGACCCACCACCTCCCCCTGGAAGCAGAGGGCGGCCACCCAGCGGGACCAAGAGCGGCAGAGGAAGGTCACCCAGGTGATACGGCCAGCAGCAGAGGGCCACAGTCCCCATGACGCCACCAGCCTCAGAGGACAAGTCCCTGCCACGGCTGCAGAGGGCCATCGTCCCCATGACGCCACCAGCCTCAGAGGACAAGTCCCTGCCACGGCTGCAGAGGGCCACCATCCCCATGACGCCACCAGCCTCAGAGGACAAGTCCCTGCCACGGCTGCAGAGGGCCACCGTCCCAATGACACCACCAGCCTCAGAGGACAAGTCCCTGCCACGGCTGCAGAGGGCCACCGTCCCCATGACGCCACCAGCCTCAGAGGACCACAAGTCCCTGCCACGGCTGCAGAAGCCAGGGCACCCAGTGCTGCCACCATCAAGCAGAGCTGCCGGAACGGCCACAGCAGCCATCTGCACAGGGAAGTCACCATCCCACCACCACCAGAGCTGCTAGTGCCCCTGGACCACTGGGCAGGTCCAAAACCTGGCGCACACAACACATCCTGACCCAATGCCACTAATGCGCTGACCTCCTCCCAAGACTGGGCCCACCTCACATGCCCCACACCACTGGGCTGATAAAATGTGATACAAAGAAATATTTCCCAAATGAAAAAAAAGGAGGAAATGCCAGAAAAAGAAGCAAGCAATTTATCACATAAAGAATTCACAGTAATGGTTATAAGGGTGCTCAAAAAACTTAGTGAGAATTACTAGCAACCCAATGAGAATTATAAAGAAACCAATGGGAACTACATCATTATGAAAAAAGAGGTAGAAGCTATGAATAAGATTCAAGTGAAAATGAAGAATGATATAGCTAAAATACAGAATACCTTGGAAGAAATCAATAGTAGATTAGACGAAGCTGAAGACCAAATCAGTGGGTTAGAAGACAAGGCAAAAAAAACACACACACCCAAATAGAGCAGCAAATGAGAAACAAAATTAAAAAGCAGGAAAGTTTGAGAGAGCTTTAGGACAATATGGAATGTAGCAACATTCACGTCACAGGGGTACCAGAAAAAGAAGAATCAGAGAAAGGAATAGAGAACCTATTTGAAGAAATAATGACAAAAAACTTCCCTAACCTGGTGAAGAAAAAACTCACACACATCCAAGAAACACGAAGTCTCAATCAAGATGAATTCCCAAAGACCTACATCTAGACACATCATAATTAAAATGACAAATGTTAAAAACAAGGAAAAAATCTGAAAGGCAGCAAGAAAGAGACAGAAAGTTACAGATAAGAGAGCTCCCATTAGACTGTCAACTATTTTTCTCAATAGAAACACTTCACTTCAGGAGGAGTGGCATGAAGTGTACAAAGTAATGAAAAGCAAGGGACTGGATCCAAGACTACTCTATCCAGCAAGGTTATCATTCAAAATTGAAGGTGAAATAAAGAACTTCACAGATGAAGAAAAATGGCTAACGGACTTTATTACAACCAAATCAGCAATGTAAGAGATACTAAAGGGACTTTTGTAAAAAGAAGAAGAAATACAAACAGAGGAATATAGGCATAAAGAATTAAAATGGCAACAAATAAGTACCTATTAATAATAACCTTAAATGTAAAAGGAGTAAATGCTCAAAAAAAAAAAAAGACATAGTGTAGCTGAATGGATAAGAAAACATGACCCATATATATGCTGTCTACAAGAGACCCAACTAAGGACAAGACTCACACAGGATGAAAGTGAAGGAATGGAAAAAAATTTTCATGAAATGCAAATGAAAAAAAAAAAAAAAAGCTGAGGTAGAAATATTCACATCTGATTAAATAAATTTCAAAATGAAGGTCATAACAAGAGATGAAGAAGTACACTACATAATATTAAATGGATCAATCCAACAAGAGGATATAACCCTGGTAAACATATATGTACCCAGTTCAGGAACACCAAAATATGTGAAAAAACTGTTTGAGGACTTTAAGGGAGAGATCAACAGCGATACCATCATAGTAGGGACTTTAACAACCCACTGACATCACGGGATAGACCATCAAACAAAGAATCCACAAGGAAACAGAGACCCTAAATGACACACTAGATTAGATCAATTTAATTGATATTTACAGAACACTTCACCCTAAAGCTGCAGAATATACATTCTTCTCAAGTGCACATGGGACATTCTCAAAGATAGACCACATGTTAGGACACAAACTAAGTCTCCACAAGTTCAAGAAGATTGAAATCATATCAAGTATCTTCTCAGATCACAATGGCATGAAACTATAAATCAATTTCAGTGAAAACATACAAAAACATTCTAACACATAGAGGCTAAATAGCATGTTATTAAACAATGAATGGGATCAATGAGATCAATGAAGAAATAAAAGACTTTCTGGAAACTAAGAACATACAACACCACAAAAATATATGAGATCCAGCAAAAGCAGTCCTGAGAGGGAAGTTCATAGCACTACAGGCCCACGCTGAGAACCCAGAAAACTTTCTAATAAACTATGTAACCCAACAATGTAAAGAAGTAGAAGGAGAACCAAAAGAAAGACCCAGAACAAGTAGAAGGAAGTACATAATAAAAATCAGGGTGCAAATGAATGGCATAGAGAGTAACAATACAATACAAAAGATTAATGAAACCAAGAGCTAGTTCTTCGCAAAGATAAACAAGATTGGTCAGTCTTTAGTCAGATTCACCAAACAAATAAAATCAGAAACAAAACAGTTGATGTAACAACCGACACCACAGAAATAAAAAGGATTACCAGAGAATACTATGAATAATTATATGCCAAAATATTTGACAACCTAGGTGAAATTGACAAATTCCTAAAGTCATACAGTCTTCCAAAACTCAACTAGGAATAGTCAGAAAACCTTTACTGACCAATAACAACTAAGGAAGTTGAAGAAATTATCAATAAATTTTCAGCAAACAAAAGCCCTGGTCCAGACGTCTTCAAAGGGGAGTTTTACCAAACATTTAAAGAAGAACTAACACCTATTCTCCTCAAACTATTCAAAAAAATTCAAGAGGAAGACATCCAAACTCTTTTTATGAGACCAACATAATCCTAATTCCAAAACCAGATAAAGACACTGCAATAAAAGAAAATTACAGCCCAATATCCCTGATGAAAATGGACCCAAAATACTCAACAAAATATTAG